AGGGAGAGAGGGAGAGGGGAGGGATGACAAGCTAGGTGCGCTAGCGTCATATCTCACGTCGTACCCCTCCCTCCCATCCCTTGCCGTTGCGTAGATCTCCTCTCTATTCGCACAGTCGGATGTCGAATAAAGCAATGATCCCGAGAGAAAGCATGCGCGATGCGAGGTATAGCACGGTACAGCATGGCATCGCGTGGAGAACGCGACTCATGCCGACAACAAGGTCAGAAGGAAACCAGAAGTGACACAGGACGGGAAATGCAAATGGACGGTCTGGAAAGCGGGAAGGGCAACACGAGATCAACGCTGCAACGGGAACACGATTTCGAAGGACCGAAACCGTGGGAATGCGACCAGCGCTGCAGTGGGAGCACGGTATGGAAGGACTGACGAAGCCAACGCTGAAGCAGGAACACGATTTGGAGGAACCGAAACAATGAAATGAGGTCAGCGCTACAACGGGAACATGCTTTGGTAGGGCTGAGAACTGGAAACTGGAGCAAACGCTGTAGTGGGAGCGCCATTCTGAAAGGACTGGAACGTGCGGATTGAAAAAAAAAAATGATCATTTCGGCGGCATCCTGTGTTAAAAACAATGCGCGGAGGAGGCCAGGACACCTCGCCAGCGTTTTCGGGGGAGAGAGGAACACAGTATTTATAGTGTGTAATCGTGGGGGGGAGGGAAGGAGAGGCAATGGGGGGGAATGGGGGTAGGAGGGATAAGGAGCAAGCGGTAGGAAGGAGGATGACGAGGAGGGTGACGAGGAGGGGGGAGGAGGAAGGGGTAGAGGAGGAAGAGGGGGGAGGGAGGCAGAGAAGGAGGAGGAGGAGGAGGACTAGTGCAAATCCAGGACTCATCAACGATGTTTGGAATCCGCCCTCCCTCCAAGCTCCCTTTTCATAGGCCCCTAGAAAAGTTCATTTCCACCGAGGGAGTTGCCTCGTAGGGGGACAACGGTGTGAACATCCTAAAGCGTGTCAAACATTACGCTCAGGACTTCAAAACCACGAGCTAACCTGACTGATAGGTATTGGCGATCCTGGAACGTGACAATACACCTTTCCTGGGACTTCAGCAACGCGATCTCGAATCGTTCCAAAACCGCATTTCTGTTACGTTAGCCATGAGAATAAACCAACATCTTATAAATGTTTAACGCGAGTGTGCGCGGAGCTAAGGCGAGAACCACATTTTGAAATCGAGCCGCCCTCACTCTGTGAAGCGATTGCAAATGATCATAGCGAATGAACGCGGCGCTAAAGCGAGAACCACACTGTGAATCATTGGGGACGGGTGGCTTTCAATTGAAAGCCACCCGTCCCCAATCCGTGGAACTCTGTATTTTTGTTTGCAAAGATGTGCGCGGCGCAAAATCGAGAGCTACATGTTTAAAACGAGCCGCCCTCAATACATAAAGCTCTTGCGTGACGCTAAAGCGATAACCACATTTTGAAAACCACCCGCCCTCCATCTGTGAACTGTGAAGCTGTGGCCAATTTAGAAAATTCCGGATCATAAATGGCGAGGAAGTCTCAATCGATAGCGCGACTCCCACTCGAATGCCCTCGGCCCGCCCTTTCGAACACCGCCTCGGGGTGCGACAGGGAAGAGTGATGCAGGAGGAATAAAGAACGATTACTGGAGGAGGAGGAAGGAGGGAGGAGGAGGGAGGGAGGAGGAGGGAGGAGGAGGAGGAGAGGAGGAGGAGGAGGAAGAGGAGGAGGAGGAGGAGGAGGAGGAGGAGGAGGAGGAGGAGGAGGAGGAGTAGGAGAGGTGAGGGGGTGAGGCGTCGTGCCGGAGCAGGCCGAGGGGCCGGAAGAGGCAGGGACATTGGTGCGCCGCGTTTTGTTTGTTTGCCCTGCCTGGCTCTGGAGCGTGTCGAAGGAAATGCTGGCGGGCTTGAGCCTCGGCGCTCGCGGAGCGCGCAGCAGACGCATGGGCCGATTCTGGACCCCCTGAACCCAAACGTGCTGCTGTCTCTCTGTGAGAGGCCTGCCGCCTGGGGTTCGAGTAGAATGGGGCTGGAGAATCGCACCGCAGCGCAGGTGCATCGGCAACGTGTGGAGAACATCGGGCTCCACATCGAGCCGCATCGCCGACGCATCGGAGATGCGGCCCGATCCTTCGACCCCATCTGTAGGGGAACGAAGAATGGCATACGCATAAATACTCGGAGGTCCGCGCGGACCTCCGAGATGTTGTGTTTATGCCATTCTTCGTTCCCCTACATCTGCTCCAGTCCCAGCCGGGAGGCTCGGACCCTTGCTTCTCGGCGACACGCAGAGAGTGACCCTGACCCATGGCTTCGGTCGGGCATCTCCTCCTGCAGGCGGATTTTGGAGGACAAATTAACAATAGTCAAGCAATGCGCCCAACTAGCCAAGAATAGTCAAATAAATCGTGCCCATATTATTTTTGACGATGTTCCCCAATCAGTGCTTGCACTAAAAGGGGTCCTAGCGGAATTTGAAAGATTTGGCGAACATTTCCCGCCGATTGTGGTAGCTGGCTGGGTTCACGGGTTCCCGGTTCCAGGTTCCCGGGTTGCTGGTCATTGATTCTGGGACGATTTCGGTGGGTTCTGGGTTCCCGGGTTCCTGGTCGATCTCCTCGTCGATGGAACCATCCACTGATTGGGGTATTTCTCTGGTGTAGTTGGAATATCCCTCCTCCCGAACGGTAGCCAAGCCCCGACGCCGCGCGGCGAGCTGGGGCGTCAGGAGCAACCCTGCCGCCCGCCCGCCCCATGGCCCGAACCCACCGCCCGACTCGAGCTCCACGGGAACACGCGGCCGAATGGTGACCCCACAGACCAGGCAGAAATTATCGAAGCACGCCATGTGGGGGGGGGACGGGTTCAGTGCAGGCCACCGAGCAGAGGGACACGCCCGACACGACCCGTGGCTGGTGGCTCCACCGGGGCCGCGGGAGCTGAGGGGGGCCGGCTCCGAGGAGCGCGCGGGCCAGTGCTGGGAGGGCTCCTTCGGACCCGCGGCACTGGGGGGGGGGCCAAGCGGGAGGTGAAGAAGAGGGCCCTCCAGGGACCCTTTAGGGCCCTCTTCTTCACCCCAGGTTCAGGTCGGGCATGTCCACCTACAGGCGGATGCTGGATGACAAATGGGAAGTCATCAACAAATACACCAGTAAGGTCAAAAAAAAAAAAGTCAAAACATCGTCCCCAGACTGTTTTTGGACTAATTTTGAAAATATTCCTCCTGTAGAGGGACGTGCCCGACTTTACCCCAATTAAAAATTACACCAGAGAAACACCCCAATCAATGGATAGTTTGATCGATAAGGAGATCGACCGGGAACCCGGGAGCCCGGAACCCACCGAAATCGGCCCGGAACCAATGACCAAAAACCCGGGAACCTGGAACCAACCCTGCCAGCCGGCCACCAAAATCGGCGGGAAATGTTCGCCAGATCTTTCAATTTCCACTAGGACCCCTTCAGTGCAAGCACTGATTGGGAAACTTAAGGCCTCCCAGATGGGTTCCGAATAGATGGGGTCGGAGGCTCGGGCCGCATCGCCGATGCATCAGCGACGCATCGGCGGTGCATCGGCGACGCCAGCGCGGAGTCAATCAGGCTCCGCACCGAGCAGCATTGCCGATGCATCGGCGATGCGGCGCCTTCCTCTAACCCTATCTACTCGGACCCCATCTGGGAGGCCTATGATTTAGGCCACCCCCCATTACTTGACAAGCGCGTAGCACTACTCGCAGAGTAATTACTCGCAAATGACCTCGATCCACCACGGGGGATCTGCGATCCATTGCATCGAGGCAAACATGTGCTTCGAAGACGTTTGCGAGTAGGCACTCTGCGAGCAGTGGAGCGCACTCGGTGAATTGCCACCCGCCCGACTCCTGCGGGTCCCGCACCAATAGAGGCCTCCTAGATGGGGTCCGTGGGGTCCGAGTAGAAGGATTGCGCCGCATTGCCAATGCATCGCCGACGCATCGCCGATGCATCGCCGATGCATCGGCGACGTCGGCAAGGGGAAACACGGTCTCCACATCGAACCGCACCGCCGATGCATCGTCGATGCGGCGCGATCCCCCGACCCCACCTGCTCCGGCCCCATCTGGGAGGCCCAGAACCACAAAGGGCGAGCCAGCGTCATCATCGTCATCGTCATCGTCATCGTCGTTATCGTCATCGTCATCGCCACCGCCATCGCCATCGGCTCAGGCCCCATCTGGGAGGCCCAGAACCGAAAGGCCATGCCGGCGATGGGCCGCTCCTCACGTGCAGCCGCTCCTCCCGTCGGCGTTGGACAAACCTCCCTTTAGTAAACCTCCCTTTTCAGTGAAAACGGCCTAGGACCAAAACCGACGGACCTGGACCCGCAAATATGACGGCCGCGACGCCCTCTCGCGAACCGATAACGGCCAATTTGCCAAATCGACGTGTCAGGGTAGGAGGTCTATCAACCTCCGATCCTTGAGGCGATGCCAGGACGAGGATAGCATCGGGGGAGGATAAGCAGGACCTCCTCGGAGACGGGGGAGGAGGAGGAGGAGGAGGAGGAGGAGGAGGAGGAGGAGGAGGAGGAGGAGGAGGAGGGGAGGAGAGGAGGGGGGAGGGAGGGAGGGAGGGAGGGAGGGAGGGAGAGAGGGAGGGAGAGAGGAGGGAGGGAGGAGGAGGAGGAGGAGGAGGAGGGAGGAGGAGGAGGAGGAGGAGGAGGAGGAGGAGGAGGGAGGAGGAGGAGGAGGAGGAGGACGAGGGAGGGGAGGGAGGGAGGAGGGAGGAGGAGGAGGAGGAGGGAGGAGGAGGAGGAGGAGGAGGAGGAGGAGGAGGAGGAGGAAGAGGAGGGAGGAGGGAGGGAGGAGGGAGGGAGGGAGTGGGGGAGGGAGGGAGGGAGGGAGGAGGAGGCATGGAGGAGGACGAAGGACGGAGGGTGGGGAGGAGGAGGGAGGGAGGGAGGAGGGCGGGAGGCACGCGGGGGACAGCGGGCGACGACGACGACGGCAACGACGTGCGCCCCGGGGGCTCCTCCAGGAAGTCCCACAACAGCCGCAGGGCGCCGTCCTCCCCTGCCGCGGCCGCCGCCGCCATGCGGCCGGGCCGCGCCCCCCTGTATCCCCTACCCCGGGGTCGGGAGCCCAGCCTCGGCCCCTCTGGGATCGCCGCGGGGGCTCGGGGATGCACTGGCCCGGGCCAGCACAAACCAGGGCCAGTCAGGCGTTGCAGGACCCCTGCAAGATCCTGCAGGACCCTGCGCCCGAGCCCGTCTCGGTGGCACCCCCGGCTCTGCAGCCTCCTGCGAGGTCCGGCGCTCTGGCCGACCCCCGCTTAGAAGAGCCCCGAGGGGCTGCGAGGAGTGGCGGCTCCCTGGAACCCCGAGCCCCACGATGTTGCCACCTCTTGGGCGGCCGACCTTTGCTTCCGCCGGCGGAGCTGCCTGCCGCCGCTTTACTGCCGCCGCCCTGCCGCCGCGGAAGAGCTGGCAACTCCTTCGATCCTCGAGGGCGCGGCCCATCTGCTGGAATGCTCCAAGCCCAGACGTGCGACGTCCTGTTTTTTCCAGGACGGCGCCCCTGGAGGCCCCGACCCCTTCCCCCGTGCCGCTTTGTCATCCTGAGTCGTTTCTTGACGGTCCTTGGCGCTGGCGAGGGCCTCCAGAGGTCGAAAGAAGATTGTTGACAAAGCAGCGGCTAGCCAAGAGGCGAAGCGATTAAAAGAACAAAGTAAGGCCGAAAGCAAGACGCAGTTGGTGAATGAACTTATCAGCAAATCTCCAGAAGAGTATGTCGAACTAACAGTTGCGCGCAAGGTCAAAGAACAGCTCCAGAAGCAGGGCGGCAAGAAAGATTCTTACACTAAGCTGCAGCTGCTGGAAGCGAGGGCCGGCGTGGAGGCGAACCCCGTAACCCTTATGACGTCATCTTTCCAGAACTTCGGCGTGACCGAGGCCGACGCGGAGAACACCTTGAGACCAAAAAACGACCAGGCCCCGCCCCCAGGTGCCAAATCTGGGGGAAAAACTTCTGGCAAGGGGAAAAGTCAGGATTCGAAAGGGGCCAAGGGAAAAGGCAAAGGAAAGGGCAAATCCAAGGGCAAGGTCAACGCAGGAAAAGGCAAGGACAACAAGGGGAAGGGGAAAGCGTTTACTACCACAACACAGTTTACAACAAGTCCGACTTCGAGGCCGACCTGGAGACCGACGGCGCCAGATCGAGATGGGAAAGGCGGCGCCAAAGGGTCAAAGAGTGGACCAGGCGGGAAAACCAAAGGCAAGAGCAAGGGCCGACCGAAAGGCAGGCCGAAAGGCTCTTCTGGAGGATGGTGAAAGGCATGACCGTGGCGGACTTCCGCCATTTACTGGAGTGTGGAAAAGACGTTCCAGACATGTACATATTTGACAATGATAAGAGAGAAGCTGTCCAGCCACCGCCGGGCATGATTGCATGGCCAATTGAATTTTTGCTTGCGAAACATCATCGCAAGCACGTGTTTCGCCGCCGTTGCGCTCCGAAGATGAGCGACATCAGCATCGCCTTGAACAGTTGGTATAACAAGCAAATGTGGAGATACACAGCTTCCCAACAGGACGATCGCGAAGATAATCCATGGAGAAGATTCCGACCCAAGCCGGCGATAACACCTCCGTGCCCTGCCGCGGTGCCACCGTCGTTTGACCAGGCATGCAGAGAAATAGTGGACGGGGTGTGGCACGAGTGCCGAAGAGCACGAGGCCGCCACATGGGCAACAGGGGGGCCATCTCCAATCTATCTGGGATCGTGTCTTTGGCAATGGATATTTTCAGGTATGGGGGCCTAGGTGTGTTACCCACCGACAAAGATGGAGGTTACTGTTTGATTCCTAAGGCAACATTAGTCACAGAGAGCCTGAAAATTGTACAGACCACACGGTATCGAGAGGTCCGAAATCCCACAGATGCAGCAGATGAGTTTTTCGATGATTACGCTCTGGCTGCCAAGGAAGCTGGGAAGCAACTTGATGATCTCCGCCTTGTCCACGCGCTTCTATCCTGGGGCCGCGAAAGCAACCTTAAAATGATATCTCGTTTGAAATGCACGGTGAAAACGCACAAGCCTGCAGGAGAGGTCGAATTACGAGCCATACATGCTAGCACGGGCAGTCCACTGACCGGTGGCATGCGCTATGTGTCTTCTCTCCTCCGTCCATTTCTCGCAAGGCAACCCCACATTCTACGAGACAGCCAGGACTTGCTACATCAATTACGGGGTATTGCCGTTCTTGAGAACGACCGCTTCCTCAAGATAGATATTAAGGACTATTTCATGAGTGGGGAGCATCATCAGCTAATCCATCAATCTTCTCAGGCGATAGAGTGCCCTGCGTCGCGGCAAGCGTACAAAACCATCCTGGCCGCGATACTCCGTAATCAGCTCGTCTCCGTGGAGGGGGACAGTACAGTGGGGCACTGGTATGGGTCTGCTTTGCTCGGGGGACGTCAGCGACACAGCCTTCCATTATATGGTTGAGGTGTTAAAACCCGCGCCCGTCACTAATTTCTGCGTTTGACGACGTTTGGCTGTAGGGAAGGAGGAGGGGGGAAGCAGGGGGGTGAAAAGGGCGGGCAGGGGGGAGGCAGAGCGGGGAGGAATAAGGTAGGGAGACGGAAAGGAGGAAGGGGGAGGAGGAGCGCTCGCGCGGGCGGAGCGTTGTTTTGCTCGCTCCGCGCAGCGCTCCCCAGCGCCACGCGCCAAGTTCCGCGCCGCGTTCCTCCGCGGCACGGTCCACCTTCGGGGATGGCGGAAGGAGAAGGAGGAAGGGGAGGAGGCGTAAGAGGAAGAGGAGGAGGAGGAGGAGGAGGAGGAGAAGGAGGAGGAGGGGAGGGGGAGGAGGGGGGAGGAGGGGGAGAGAAGGAGCAGGGAGGGGAAGTTACGGACTTATGGGTAATACGACTATGTCGGCCACAGCAATTCTGCCAGCACATTGCCTTTCCAACCGCGCTCCGCTTTGCTCGAGGAGGAGCGGGGGAGGAGGCGGAAGAAGAAGAGGAGAGAGAAGGAACAGGAGGAGGGGGAAAACAAGACGGGGAGGGCAGTGCCACCTTCGTACGCCACTGTACTCACTGTGGCCGCCGTGGCCCAAGCCCTGCACGATAAGCTCCCACAGGGCCTCCAAGTCAGAGGTGCCGACCGAGAAGGAGGATGAGGATGAAGGGGGATGAAGAGGAGGAGGAGGAGGAGGAGGAGGAGGAGGAAGAGGAGGAGGAGGAGGAGGAGGAGGACGAGGAGGAGAGGGAGGAGGAGGAGGATAACGAGGAGGAGGCGTCAAAGGGTGAAAGGGTGAGAGGGAGGGAAGGGAGGGGGGGGAGGACGAGGAGGAGGAGGAGGAGGAGGAGGAGGAGGAGGAGAAGGAGGGAAATATGATGAGGAGGCGGTGGGATAACGACGGGGACGCTCGAGGACGGAGGACGACCTTGCTTCGCGACGAGGGGGTTCGAGGACACTTGAAATTTGATGTCCAAGGGTCTGTCGTGTTTGCGCGGGCGGTCGCGAGGCAAGGGTGTCTTCTGGACACCCATACCTCGCGACGGGGATGCTTGAGGACGCCCTTGTCTCGTGACGGGGTGGGGTTTGAGGACGCCCTGCCTTCGCTACGGGGAGGCGGAGGCTCGAAACCACCCTTGTTTCACGACGGCCCGCGCAAGCATGGCAGACCCTCGGACGTCAAATTCCAAGTGTGCCGAAACGGCAAGAGGGAAAGAGCGGAGGCGGGGGAATTGTGGATATGAGCGATGCCCCAGGAGGATTCTCGAGGTTCGGTTCGGGCCGCGGGCTAGCGGGCAACGGGCCCGCCGCACGACCGAGCAGGGGAAGGGGAGGCAAAAGGGCGGGAGAGACGGGGCAGGAGGCGGGGGAGGTTGGAGGACGGTGACGGGGAGAGAGGGATGGGGCATGGGGAAAGGGCAGGATGAAGATCAATTGGGAGGCGCGGGCGGGACGGATATGCCGCCGTCAGCCGCGGCGAGGGATACATCCTGTCGAGCCTGGCGCCCCTTGAGGGGGCCTCCCCCAGATGGTCACGAGTGCCGCCCACATATAGTTACGGCCCCCGTGCTTCTCACCCGAGGAGGAGCAGACGGGGGATCAGGAGGAGGAGGAGGAGGAGGAGGCGGAGGACGAGGAGGAGGAGGAGGCGGATGAGGAGGAGGAGGAGGAGGAGGAGGAGGATCGCAAGGACGCAGCACGCTGAGCATTTACAACACACTCGGTGCATCCTTCCCCTTGGGACAAGGGTGGCACGGGGGAGGAACTACAGAGGTGGGGGATCCAATTGCAAGGTACCTTAGCTAGACCACCTAACTTCGCACGTCGCGCCCCGCGATGCGCGGTTATCGTCGCGCCCTCGCGAGGGCGCTTTGGAGGAGATCAGCCTTGCTGCCTATGCCGCGTCGCGCGATTCGCGATTATCTTCGCACCCCTGGGGCCCTGGGGAGGAGAAGGAGGGGGAGGTCAGGACCCCTGAAGTCTTTCAGCGCCGCCGCACCGCTGCTCAGCGGCCGCCGCCGCCGCCGAACGGCAACTTGGGCTGCTTCGGGTCCTCCATCGCGGTCTTCCTCTTCCTCTTGGTGCCAGCTGCATCCTCCTTCTTCTTCTGCAGTGCCTCCTGCTGCTCAGCGGCGGCCTTGGCCCCGTCCTCCTTCAGCTTCAGCTCTGCCTGCTCAGCGGCAGCCGTCGCGGCGGCTGCCTCCTGCTCCTTCTGCTTCTGCAGTGCTTCTTCCTGCTCAGCGGCAGCCTTCGCGGCGGCCTCGTCCTCCGTCCTCTTCAGCTCTGCCTGCTCAGCGGCAGCCTTCGCGGCGGCTGCCTCCTCCTGCTCCTTCTTCTTTTGCAGTGCCTCCTGCTCCTCGGCGGCAGCCTTCGCGGCGGCTGCCTCCTCCTGCTCCTTCTTCTTCTGCAGTGCCTCCTGCTCGGCGGCGGCAGCCTTCGCGGCGGCTGCCTCCTCCTGCTCCTTCTTCTTCTGCAGTGCCTCCTGCTCGGCGGCGGCAGCCTTCGCGGCGGCCTCGTCCTCCTTCTGCTTCAGCTCTGCCTGCTCAGCCTTCGCGACGGCTGCCTCCTGTTCCTTCTGCTTCTGCAGTGCCTCCTGCTCAGCGGCAGCCTTCGCGGCGGCCTCGTCCTTC